TATTCCAAATACAAATTTCAAGATATGTCACTAGTACCACCAATGGGGACTTTTTTCCGTCGCTCGCGGTAATGTAGCAAATTGTCGATGTAGTATTACTACTGCACTAGGTCTAGTAAGTAGTTGGTGCACCAAATATCACCTACCCGATGGCGAAAGCCTTTTACCCGGTATTTCTCTGTGTTTCTCACATGCGCTGAACAAACCAGCAAACGAACATGCCGCGCGGATTGCCGCTTCCGATCGGGTACTTTCGGTGTCCACCGCTGAGCCCAGAAGAAGCCCGGCCATGCATTGACCTCACAGAAACTATGTCCATCGACCTGGTACGACCAGATCCCGCGATCATGTCTCGTTCACTGGCGCCATGCTTCGACGATGCTGAGATAGATACGCCACGCCCAACTCCACGACGGTCCGATCTCGTGGACGTTAGATGCACGATGCAGCGACCCGGACATGCAAGTGTATACGGCTGAAGACATGTCGGCGCCTCCTGGAATCATTTCGTACTGCACCGTCACGACCGTCAAAGCCGCGATGGACGAAGTGGCATCGCTGTTTTACACGGACTCCACCGCCGAGTACCGCGCGTATTGCCAGCACTTTGCCAAAGGCACGTTGGATGCAGCCGTCTTGTACACGTTGGCTTCGCCGACTCCTGCCTTTCCGCGACACAGCATCGCGATCAAGTGGAACGCGTTCAACATCATGCCTGGCATGCCTGCCCGGGACGGAGTGTTTCTGGAATGCCACAACGACTTCGACATACAGGGGCGGCGGGGGTGGGTCCGTTGCTGCAAGTCGATTGAAATATCGTGCTGTCCAGACCTCCACGAGTCGCATGGCCTCGTCCGCGCCTCGTTCTACCGGTGGGGATTTGTTTGCGTCGAGACCGACGTTCCCGGTACGCTCCGCATCACGTACCTCATGCAGATAGACGTGAGCAGTCGCCTCCCACGCATATTTCTGTCGGCTGGCGTGCGTAAATGGACCCAGCGTCTCGCCACATTGCAAGTATGCTTGTGGAGACGCAACCAGTGTGGCCGGCGATTCCTTTCGCTCGAGAAGTTTGTGCCTCAAGTATCTCGCGGTCGCTGCTTTCTATGCCAGCGCAAATTCGGAGCCTTCGGTGCCAAGGAATCATGTCTGAAATGCGGTCACGTCGTGTGCCGGTGCTGCAGCAAAATATGGCACGTTGCCCCGACTGGCAATTTGCACTGGCGACGCATCTGCAATGCATGTGCAAAGTGCAAGATCGCGCCATTCAGCCACGAACCGATCGAGTCGAATCCGTTGGTGCTGCCGCCGTCGCGGCGTGCGATCAGCTTGAACAATGAGTTCTCGAGAGTCGGAACGACGGACATCCCCTGGCAAGGTGTTGGGCAGGACTACGCTTCCTTCAATGACAGACGGACGACCACCACGTCCCCATGCAGACCGCCCAACTCGTTTGTGCAAGTCCATCTCTGTCCTGGCGTCGCGCCGGAAGAATGCAGACGGCGAGGCCAGTCGTTGCCCACGCCAATGGTGCAATGGCACCACCAAGATGAAGTGCAGCACAACGACGGCGACGTGGCACCACCCGATGACATGGCCCTCGTCCGAGTGAGCTCGTGGTCCGAAGCGCAGTCGTCCAGGCGGCAGTGGCGGTGACCATTCGTCTGAGCATCCCGCCATGCCCAGTACAACCATCACGTGGCAACGGTTGACCCCGGCGACAACGGAGACCGCCGACGACGTCCCATCATGGCCATTCGTACACAAAGAAGGGAGGTCGATTGTAGACGTAGCTCAAAATGGCACGTACGCATGCAGTCGCTAGCGTATCTGGACTCGTTCCCGTCGCGACATGCCGGGACGACCGCCCGTTGAATGGCTGGAGGTGGCGGCGCCACACTCGGAGATCGACAGGTTGCTGCTGGTGCTCCGTCGTGGCCATCCTGTTTGGGATGGCGTCGGCCGTTCGATGCAGTTTCCCTTGCGCCATGCACACCCGACGCACGTTCGCCACGCGATCCGACCTGCCATTGCTGACGCGAGGCATCCTAGCGTTGGGTGAAGTGCAGCACGTTGTCGCACGAAAGGTAGCGAGGCCCCTGATGCCAAAGTCGGTCGTTCCGCACGCTAGGGGGACATCGTTCCATGTGCAGCGTCGTACGTACACAGCGCCACAACGGGACTGATGCATCCCCGACCCTATTCGGACACTTCCACCCGCCCGCGTGCGAACTTACCACCCCCCGCTGGACGAAAGGACCTGGCGACCTTGCGCAGCCCGGCGGCAGGTCGCCGTCGGCCCAACGATGTGAGTCCAGTTGCAATATGGCTCGGGTTATGGACGTGATCTGGATAAATTGTCCAGGTCGCGTTTACTTCTCCCACGGTTTGCCAAGTTCGACGATCCCAGGAACGAGAGAGAGGGAGAGATGTGCTTGCCCCACTTTCCGCTCTGCGCAACGGGGTCGCCAGCATCATTCATGGATTTCTCGCAGATGAACGAAGAGCCCGACGTCGAGTACTTTGACGAGCTTGAACTACAGGAGAGCAGCCACGAGCTGTTGCTGACCAAGGCACAACACGGAGCTTCGCCAGCTTCGTCCACGACGAATGCAATGGCCGACAAGGTGGCGGCGACTCCACACACCGCCAAGCCGTCGCACGGCCTGTCGTACCGACCCGACATTGACGGCCTCCGCACACTCGCCGTTGTCCCGGTCGTGCTCTTCCACGCATACCCAGACATGTTTCCAAGCGGGTTCATCGGCGTCGACATCTTCTTTGTCATCTCGGGCTACTTGATCTCGGGCATTCTCCTCAAGGAATGCAAGGCCGGGACGTTCACGTACTACGGATTCTACAGCCGCCGCCTGCGCCGGATTTTCCCGATCCTGCTCCTCGTCATGACGACGACGCTGTGGATGGGATGCCTCTACCTCCTCGCGACCAGCCTCAAGGCGCTCGCGGCCACGATGCTGGCCGGGTCCCTCTTCTGTGCCAACCTCCAGGTGCTGTCACTCGAGAAAGGGTACTTTGACGACGACATCAAGTCGAATCCGTTGCTACATCTGTGGTCGCTCGGGGTCGAAGAGCAGTTTTACATCTTTTGGCCGTTCCTGGCGTCCGTCGTGGCGCGACTGCCGTATCGACGCGCGTTGGGTCTGCAAGGGCTTGTGCTGGCCGGCAGCTTCGTCGCCAACATTGCGTTCC